TTTCAAGTGTGTCTAAACCAGCTCTCAGAATAGGACTGCTGTCCTACTCATCTTTCAGATGAGACATGAAATTGAAGCCCTGGGTACAGAAAAACAACATATTTCACGAGATGGGAGGAATGTAAGTCCCGCTCTTCTGGCCATCTTCCAGCCTGGGTAATTACATTTCTACCTAGCTAAAATTCCCTCTGCTCTATGGTTTTAATTGGACAGTAGTTTCTTTTTTGTTTGTCTAAAATCCCAGGCTGGGGTCAAACCTCAATGGTTAATTCAGCAGACTTATTTTCAGTAAAGCTGCAGAGGCATTTCCCCCCCCCCAAAAAAAAATTCCAGATTTGTTTTCAAACTTAGGGGCAACATCCCAAACAGCCTGAGCTGACAGAGCCTAAAGCAAAGAAATCTTCCTCTGGCTTTCAGGCCATAACATCAAGGATCTTTGTGTGGTAATACTAGCCTGATTGTCTTGCTGAGGGTCAGCATCCTCCCAGCTCTGCTTTGCAGTAGCAAAGGGAGGGCTAAAGCAAAATATCCACCACAAGAAAACCCATTTATGTGGTGACACTTAGGAAGGCAGCACCTATTCATTTAAGCATCTTAGTTTGTGCCTACAGCTGACATTTTGGAAGGTAGTTTTCGGGATTTGCACATTCACATCTCTTATACTCAAGGGCTTAGTCACTGTAACTGTAATGTAACAGACCTTTTTTTAATATTTTTGGCCCAGAGCTTTTAACTGGCTCTGTTTGAGCTAACCAAGACACAAAGGTCCACCTGCACGAGAGAGACAACCTAGTGTTAAAAGTACTTAAGTGTTTGCTTACCTCCAATATGTCATTCACTAAGCTTAAAGTGAAACATGATTTAAACACTTTGACGAATTAGGTCCAGATTCATCAGTTTTGCAAGAAAAAGGTGTCTAACCATCTGTGGGAATTGGTAACCTACTGAGCTAGAGGAGACTTATAGGGCTGACAGGAAAAGGAAATTCAGGCATATATTCTACAAGGCAACACCTTCACAAAGCTTTTCCTATGAATATTGTTCTAGGGAGAAATAACTTTCCCTGATGCCATGCAGTAATATTTGGCCTCCCGAAAAGCTTTCGCCTGATTTGTGTATGCACTCCATTTGGAAGACCTTGTATAATGGGAAACAGTTCCAACAGCCAGGCGAAGGATTTGTTTTCCTTTGCCTTTAAATGAAATATCAATGGATGGATATTTTATTTTTAGCTGAATATGAAATTTCACAAGCGACCTGTCAAGCTCCTGTTTTCAAGAATGACTTTATTTCACACGTCAAGACAGGCTGGGAAATTAGTTTTTCCCACAGAGGACTCTGATTAGGGATTACAAAGTGAGTGTGGCGCAGAGTGATTTTTCCTCCATCTTTTCGCTCGCCCCACCAGCCTAGAGAGTATCTGACTCTGCTGACTAAGGGGAGCAATTCATTACCATGTGAGGGAGGGGGACTGGAAGCAAGATAGTCATATTAAGTAGACTTGCTGGCCCAAGAGAGAATAGGGAAAGCATAATAATACTTAGACCTTACGTTATTCTTTTCATCAGTAGATATCAAAGTACTTGAAAAAGGAGGTTGATTTGATGGAAAAGGAGATAAATGCTGATTCCAAGCAGCCCATTGCAGAGGCACCAGCATCGATGCTCACTCTCATGATGGTCTTTTCTGACTGTGGGTCTGCAGGGTAGCGAAATAAACAGGTCTTTTCCTCACTATAATGCAGAAGTACATTTCAAACATTATTGACTTACCCAGTGGAACTCTCTTGGGGTTTGGCAAAATATAAGGTCCAGTCCAACAACCAGAGAGAGCAAGAAGGAGATTATGTATTACTAATAAATGACTGAGCAGACAGGACCTATTGCCTTTGTCAGCAGACAACAGATGATTTACACTGCAATTTAGCTGCTTGCGGAAGCAATAAATAGTCCAGATGAAGGGCTCTGGGGTTTTTACCATGTGGAAAATCTGGCCCATTCTGGGGTATTTCTGTTGTTATTCAGTGGAGCAGTAGTCACTGGAGTAGGGAGTAGCCTTGTTCTGCTGTAGATGAACAACAGTGTTTGGCTCCACTGCTAAAAGTCCTGCACTGGCAGATCTGATAGAGTTTACTGCCTGATTTCCTTTGGGCCACATGAAAGAGCTGCACATGAGGAACCACACACAGAAAGCATCAATCCCAAGGTCAATCTTCATATTCAAGAACATTGCAACATCTCTACTGGCTACACATCTCTAATCCCTTACATGCCCATCTCGTTGCATATCGCTCTTAAAAAAACCCTTCTTTTTCTCTTCTTTCTCTGTAGAGTGTGCTCTGACTTGCATTTATTTGCCAATGGCCTTTCTGCTCTGTGTATGTGATAGCGATGTTCAAAGAGGCCTGAAGTCCTGCTGCGACAGGCAACCCAGAAAAACATCTCATAAGAGGCAATACGAGATCCCATTGGGTCAAACAGCTGCTGTGCAGTCACTGTGACTCACATCAGGAGGGAAGAACACTCCAGGGGCAAGCACTGCATGTGGAGGTTACCCATGTTTTCATGATGCCATCTACAATAATAGCTTGGTTTTCAACAGTGTGAGGCATCAGCAAATGCCTGAGGCAGTTCTCTGGCCCTAAACCTTCCAGGGCAAATAGAGTTAGAAATAAAAGAGGAAGGAAGAAGACACCAACTTATTTACACTTCTCTGTCCTTCTAACAAGAGCAGGTCATACCTTCCAAGTCCCTTTGCAGAGTTGAATACTTATGTGCCTTATTCAGTTTCAAAATCCTGCATCCTGCATTGTGCCCACGGTGCCGCAGCCTCTGCTCTGCAAATCACAACAGCATCTCTAAACAGCCCAATCTGCTGTGGACCAGTGCCTCCCTCCAATACAGCTGCAAATAGGTTTAAATCATTAGATTCAAGTTACCAAACAGTCTCTTGGATCAGGGTTAATTAAATGAGTGTTGAAATCTAATTAAGAACTGGTCCAGGTGATAATTAGCAGGAAATGTATGCATTAAAATATTCATTTGTCGATGAGCTGCAATTAAGAGTGTGATTTGGGGAAGGATCAATAACTACATCATGTGATGTAAAAAAGAAAAAAAAAAGAAAAGTCACCTAGCCTTCAACAGAAATGCAGGGGAATTTTGCCTAGGTTTTTTTTCCTCTCCCCCTTCCACTCCCCCTTCTGTTTTGATTTTTTAATAACTTCTGAAGATTGCTCTCTATCCTTGAATGGAGCATTCATCTCTCCGTCCCTTTGTTTTCCTGAAGCACTTCTTTCAAAACCTTGCTCTTCACCACATTGTGTTAGCGGGTTATAGATTTATTAGAGAGAGACTAACAGGTCAAAAAGAAAGATTCTTTACCAATGAAAATCACTTTCTCCCAGAACAGACTGCTAATCCGGGGGAACATCGCTCATTGTGTGGCCTTAGATTGCTGGGGTCTTTTTTTAGCAAGTTAATTCTTCAAGTCTTTATTCATAACCGGGGATCTGGAGAGGCTGTTGAATATGTATAGCTTAGACTTATATATATGTACATCCATAGCTGTGGTTTACTACACTCTTCCCAGTTTGTAGCAGAGCAACTCTGCTTTCACCGAGACTATTTTTTTCTGTTTACAGTTACATAGGGGTGTGTGCAAACCAGTTTATAATATTGTTCCTGTGCAATCTGAGAAAATCCACCTCTGTTAGAAAAAAGAGGGTCCTGAAATAGCTCAGTTCCTCTGGTATGGAGCTGGTCTTCCTCTACTGCCGCAGCCAGAGGCTGAGCTGGTAATTTCCTGCTGACTGTATTTCCATCAGTGCATACCAGTTTGTCAAAAGGGAAGTGTACCATGGGAGCACACTGATTGTAGCTGCCCTTTGTCAGTCTCCTGACAGCTCACCTGTTCTCCCCAGGCTTGGTGGCAGCCCAGCTCCTGAGGCAACTGTCCCCTGCTGCCAGGGGAGTGGTCAGATTCTCCCCTCTCTGCATCTCCTCCATCTCCAGGGAGAGACACCTTTTGGGGAGTCAACCAACCCATAAAGTTGGGACTTCCTTGGAGCCAGACAAAAAAACACCAGGGCCTTCCTTCCTAAGTAGATCTTTTTCTTCCCATCTCTGCTTCCTATGTAAGGATTGCAGCTACTGACCTTTCATCTCATTTTGGGAAGGAGAGGGATTTCTTTCATTCCCAAAAGCACTACATTTTTCACAGTTTTCTGCAGGCAGTTCTGATGATCATCTGTAGTTCTGCACTGGTGTTGACTGCAGACAAAATCCTAATATTGTAAATCTTTCCTAGAGACCTGTAACTTTAAATGTGTTTTTTTTGTGATAGTCACTATTTTCTACTATTCATGGAGGGGAAATTCCGATCCATCCAGTACTATTTTTGCTCCCCTACTTTAACAGTGCAGAAGAGATGTTGTTTCATGACGATACATACACTCTGCCCAACATACAATACTGACTCTTATCTCCAAGGCTGGGCAGGGATTTCTCACTGTGGGTTACAAGACAGCAGAGTGAAAGGGCAATCCAGTCCAGGGGTCTAGAATGCAGAAACCTCACACATTCCACTGAAACAAATTGGTCCACAAATCCTACCACATTCATTCAGCAATGCCTCTTACATTTTGCTGCACTGAGTCCAGATCTTTGTCCTCTGATAAGGACAACCTGTTGGCCCTGAAGGTTGAAAGAATAAAGCAAAAACTTTTGCAGAGGGAACATGAATGACAGGCTAGGAGTTTGAATCTGGGGGGAAACTAGGAACCAGGCTACTGTCATTCACCCTCCTGGGTCCCTTACTTCATTCCTGATGCTCTCAGCCCCTTGCAAGGGTCAAATTCAAAAACCTGATTTTTTACATGGAAAAAAATCAGCTCCAGCAGAATTTTGTTGTACCAAGTCTGTGTTACATGTATGGATTGGTGAGCCAGTGTGTATCTAGCTCACTCCCTCTTGTGTGTCCTTTTGTTTCCTGTTCTGCAGGGAGCCTCTTCAAGCCTGGTGGTGAAGTTTGCGGACACGGACAAGGAGCGTACAATGAGGCGCATGCAGCAAATGGCAGGACAAATGGGCATGTTCAACCCCATGGCCATCCAGTTTGGGGCTTATGGCGCCTATGCACAGGCAGTAAGTATAGACACCGGCTCTATGCATGTTCATGGAACTGGGAATAATATCCAGGGTAGACAAGGGAATCTCACAGGCAAGTCTCAGAGGTGCAGTAGCCAGTTCTAGCACTGACCACACTGTGATCATGTGTGCACCCATTCAAAACACTTCCTATGGGGTCTGAGCCATTTCTGTCAAATAAAAGCACAACAAGCCTTTGAGGATTTGGATAAAATGAGCCTGAATTCAGCTTGTCCTAGTTCTCTGCCTCATGTAGCCATAGCCCTCCTGCACCATGGATCGTTGTGGGCACCTTGGAGTGACCACAGGATAAAATGGCAGCTGTTGACAGAAATACTTTTAGGTTCACGAAAGCACGCTATATAATAACAAAACGGACAAGCAGATAAGCACATATACAGTTTTGACTCCCCAAAACAGTATGATACAAGCACACTGAGAGAAAGTCCTGTTGCACTTGCTTCAGGTACGTTATGTACATACCAAACCTAGACACTGGGCTCCTGAGAAGATGTGACTGTATAGGGAGCTGGGCTTTTGATGATGCACTGAAATGGAAGTCTCTGGCATTAGTACTTTTTCTTAGGCTACAGTTAACAAGGACCTGCAAGACAAGATTGGGTTCACGTAACTTGGACTCTCTGCCAGGTATTTCAGAGGCAGGTAGAGGTGATGCCTGTAGCAGGCAGACACAATAGACACCATACTGACCAGTGACTTTGTTGCCTTCTCTGGAGTGCATTTGCAGGCAGTGTGTCTGAGTGCTTCATCTATTTGGTGACAAAATGTGACCGTCTTGTACTCTGCAAGGTTTGTGTACAGGAGGGAAGTACCACTTTCCAGAGTAACATATTCTTAAATGAGAGACCAAATGCCTTGCCTGAGGTTTACAGGGCCAGCTCAGGAATCACGCTCTGATGAACCCATAGTCCCTCCAGTACACTGTCCACTGGGACTTTGCTTTCTTCCCTGACTGTTTCTTTCTCATTTGTTGGCACCGTGTATTTCCCATCACATGCCCATGTTGTCTTTTTAACTTGAAGATCTGAAAATATCTGTCCTTCTCTGAGTGTCCTGAGCCTCACTGAACACTTGGTACAACCCTTGTGTGAGCCATGCAGAGTTGTGAGGATGTGCTGTAGAGCTGCACAGAAGTTCCCCCTCTCCTCCCAGCTTCACCTCTTGGTGCTGTTCTGGACTTTTTTATTCATTCTTCTCTAGAAAAATTCTGGGTTTACTTCTTTTTTTACCTCTCCGTTTTTATTCCCAGACTAAGTCAATCTCTTGTCTCCTCCTTTGTCCTCTGCTCCCTTCCTCACATGATAGAAGAACTGTTCCCTCCCCAGCCTGCCTGTGTTTAATTGTCCTCCTGGTCAGGGAAGGCTGCAAGAATTGGAAAAGAGACAGTAAATCCCATCTGAGCCCAGGTCAGTGGCCAGCAGCCTGGCAGAGGGATGCAGGATCTTTGCCCCCACATATCACAGGCATTAACAGGAGGCAACCCACGAGCAGTTTGGGATGAACATTTGCAGAGATTGTTAGGCAGGAGATGTGGCTTCAGTGTTACTCTACAGGCATTGATCAGGCAGCTGGAGAGATGGTAAAGACACCACTGTCCTGATACTCTGGTCCAAAAACTCTTCTTGCATTAGTTTTAATCAAGAATAAGTCTCCTAATTTCCAGCCTAGGTTAATCCTGATGTGAGAGGATGCAAGTCTGCTCCTTTACATGACAAAACTCTCCTCCATTTCTCACCAGATAATACAGGTGCATTATGACAGTAGGTGAGGATTTATAGCTGAAGGAAGAGTGAAAACAATTCCTGGTCTGCTCTCACCAACTGAAAAAAATGAACATTTTCCATATTGATTTCTGTTAAAGCAGAATTGGACCCGTACTCTTTTTTTTTTTTCCTGATAAATATGCTAATAATGGGGAAAGAATAAGTTTTAGATCTTGACCCATTGGATATGACAAGCTGGTGACACCAATTACCCTGGGGAGTTCAGAGCTGTCTAAATGATGGGATCACATTTCTGTTTGGTGCCTGTACACCCAGAGCGTGCTCAGATGCTGTCTCTCAATCAGCTTCCCTATCTGTTTCATCTCACAATCTAACATAAAAGGGAAGGAAGGGAGCGTCGAGGCTCTGTGGCGTTCCCTAGGTCCTGATTAATCCACCTCGGACCGCTGGCTCTTATATATCAAGGTGATTGGCACCTCACAAATGCCAGCAGGAGATGGAGGGATTGATAAGGAAGAGGGAAAGGGAGAGAGCAGTTTTATTCAGCCCAAAATGGAGTCAAAGAGCTAATGCAAGTCAAGAGGAGGGAAGGTGAAACATCAGGATCAGTACTGTCATGATGGGCGCTGCCACAGCCACCAGCAACTCCTGTGACACTGGGTGAATTGTTTGACCTCCTGGTCTTGTTTCCCCATGTACAAATAAAGCTGATGATCAGATTTATTTTCTCTTCTCCCTCAGGGACACAGCTCTCTCTTGTGCCATCCCTCCGTGAGTTTTCACACAGTGGTAGGGCAGTAACACAAGTGCAAGAACTGCCTCAGTGCTTGGTAGTAAGGTCAGAACAAGCAGGAATCGTTAGGCTCTCTAATTCATACTTGTAGCCTGTACTCCCAGCTATCCCCCTACTCACCTGACTCATGTCTCCAAGAGTTCCCAAGTAATCCCATGACCGTAGATTATCAATAGTTTCTAATGGTCTATCCCCATAGAGGACATAGTCCCATAGGCTGCAGTTTCTTGCTGTATTTCCCCCAGAGAAGCATCTTGCACGTCACTGTGACTGGATTAGCTCCTGCAAAAAGGTCTCAATCCATCAAGGTGGCCAGTGCATCAGAAACCCACATGACAAATTGATGGGCACCTGTGGGTTTGCAAACCCAGCAGCACCACTGAGGAGAAGCAGCGAAGGTCTCAGTCCATCGATGTTTGACTGACAGTCTTCAGTGTTGCCACCAGGACTGATTTGGGCCCCAGCTCCTCTCTAAGTTATCTCCTTTACAGCTCAGCAACTGGCTATGTCACAGTTCACTCCCGGCTGCTGCTGCACGCTACCAACCCACTCAGCCTCAGCTTAACCACTTTAACCTTGATAGCAGTGACAGCCTCACATCAGCCAAGCAACCAGTCCTCGGGTTCAGCAGCCATATGGCCTCAGACCCAGAGGTAAAAAATATGAGGAAGCAAAGGGACTTCTCCACTGTATGTGGTTTTCCATCCCCTCCTCATGTGCCACCTGCAAGCAGACCAGACAAAGCTTGGCACCAGCCCTGTGTGCTGTTTCAGTGACACAGAAAGTCACATCAGATTCACCTCACCTCTTTTGTATGCACCTCAAGGCCAGTCAGATTTCATTGCTTCCTAAAGCTCCCAGAGGCCCTACACTAATTTGTTTCAGAGTTTGGTGGTTTGTTCTTTTTGTTTGTATTGGTGTGTTTGGTTTTGGGGTTTTTTTTTCATTGTTTTAGGGTTTTTCTTTTCAACAATATCTTCTCATACTCGTTTAATTTCCCCTTTTATGGGGCAATTATTTATTTTATTTCACACATGTACAGGGCATCAGCCCTTTTTGGTGTCAGGTTACCATGGATATACACCAGCTGGGTATTGATAGCTGTTTCTGCAGTCTAAGTTAAGGCCAGATTGAGGCATAGATCTGAACTCAGACTGGAGAGAAGGAGAGTGAGGCTGGCTGGCACTGCCTTGATTTGCTGCAAGTCAAGAATGAGCCTGCAGGGACATAGTCCACCTCAGAGGAGCACAGCACACCTTCTTACATCTTGGTAAGAGGTGGGATGGCCAAGCCCAAAATCACAAGCAGTGAAAATCAAAACAGACTGTGAATAGTGGTAGTACAGTCCTGGCCCAAAGAAACAACAGTGGCAAGAGTTCCTCTAGGTCTTTCTGTGCAGAAAGTGGCAAGGGGTAGTTAGGAGCTGTCTCATGTCAGTGACACCCCACCATGCAGAAAGGGAATGTGCATAGATCAAAAAAGGCTTAGGGAGATGGGAAAATGCAGAAGAGCAAAGCAAGAACAAAGGAAAGAGCCTTGGAAAGTGACAGATACAGTATAAATTATTTAATTTTTAAATTATTTAAGATAAGATCAAAGTCATAAATCAAGTTTGCATAAAAAATGGGGTGGGAGTGTTAGCCATGGTCTTCTGGCCAAACTCCAGCCTTGGGACTGATTGCACTCTGCAGCAGGGGATAGGCATAGAGTCTGTGAGTAAAAACAGACTGGGACAGAGACAACACAGGCAATGCTAACATTTGCTCTCTGGCCTGGAGCAACTCCTTTCCCATCAGTAAATCCTGGTTCCCCTCACTCTGAAAAAGTACAAAAGGCTGCTGCTCCCAAGCTTCAGACAAAAACTTCAACAAATCTGGGAATGTCCAGCACAGTGGAGCTATCAGTCATCATCACAACTGGTCTTCTTGGGAAGTCAGAGCAGCAGTGACTACCATACTGACCACAAAAGCCTAGGCATCCCCTTCTACCTCCCTGTCGAGCTCCTGTGGAGATGAAAGGATATTTCTGCTAAATGATCTGAGGTAGTGCTGATGGGAAGGATCGCTGCTTCCTAAATTTATTCAATTTGTACTGTGAAATTATTTTGGAAAGATACTTTAAAAAAAAAAAAGAAAGCTATCCCTATGAAATCAGGGGGAAATTACTGACTATAGGCTATCTTCTGGATATAATAGTTATTACATTTAAATTGCCAAAATGGGATAGTATATTTGGTAAATACTACCTGGTATGCAAATCACTTGCTCTGATCCTTTCCAGGAGAGGAAGCTATATTGAGGCCATAATACTCTGTAGCAGGGCTAATACCATGTTTCTGACCACCAGCTCCCTGGTAATTCAGAAATAATGAACACTCATATTTGGGCTTTCTACACAATTTTTTTAGGCTCTGTTTTTTTAACTCAGCTCACAGGAAATTAGAAACCTGAACTATTGTG